GCAAAAGAAACAGGCTGATGTCTTAATAATTAAAAGGGATATACAAATAACAAACCAAGAGAGTGACCTGGATAATTTTCCCATATTGGCTTGTTAAAGCTTTGAAGAATTGAGAAGGGACAAAGAAAAAAATGAAAAGAAGTCAAGTTCTAGGACATTATTTGAAGGGATTAAAGATTGAGATTGTTAGAAGTAAAAGAAAGGAATATAAAGCTTAAAATAGGCATGTTGTTATCCCTGGTAACCCTTAATGGAATTTTGCTGACATCAGGCCTGAAATGATGAGGTTTTATGGATTTGTTTATAGATAAGAGATGGGATATGGGAAAACAAGATCATTTGTTGTATTTTAAGAGAAGGTGATAAGTTACTAAAATTGTTTATACTTGTTATGATGAAGGGGGAAGCCACTTCTTTATATATTTCTAAAGATAGGAATGATAAGATGGTTTTCCTCCAGATATAATTATTCTATTTTTCTATTGTTTTGGACTTCTATAGTAAACACAAGAACCTATATTGTCAAGATAGTGGCTTTTTTTAAAGCTAATATTGACCTTCTACAATGACATTCCTTATAATTACTAGTTCCTGCTTTAACTTGAATTCAGATAACATAAAAAAAGTGGTTTTGAGTATGAGGAATTGTCCTGTCTCAGGCCACGCACCCAGAAACACACAGAGAGGCAGTTGCAAACTTTACTTGGGAAGTTTATGAAACAAATAAACAAGTGGCAAAGGAAATGTGAGTGCAAATGCACACCCACACACACGAGAGAAATCAACCCCCCAAAGTCCAGCAAGCTTGCCTTGAGAGAGCTCCAAGTCCAAAATAGCAGGCACAAGAGTGGTCAAGCAAAGTCCAAAGGTCCAAACATCTTGAAGGGTCATCAGCTGGCCCAGGTCCAGAGTCACAGTCACAAGGATTCAAGTCGGGAGTCAAAGCACACGGAATCTGGGAAAATAAATGGTTGTTGCCAACGGAGAGGCTGGACCTTGCTGCTCTTCTTAAACAGAAGCAGCCCCGGTGTGGCTCCTTTGGAAGGGTGAAGTTCCTTTCTTGCAAGGAGCCCCACAGAGCGCCTTTGCGAGGCACAGCGAGGGGTGGCAGCTCAGCCTCCCCATCTCCCGAGACTGGTGGCAGTTGTGCCTGCTGGTTACGGGGC